CCCCAAAACCCCAAAACCCCAAAACCCCAAAACCCCAAAACCCCTTTTTTTGTATTTTAAATTGAGAAAATAAGGATTTGGTTATTCATGACTAAAGACCATTAATTGGGAAGATTACCCAGATGAATGAAAGTACCAGAATTTCCCACTATTATGCAGCATCAATTATATCGCCATCTAATGCAAAATATTTGTGAAATTGGTATTACCAAATTTCTCTGGATCGAATTCTATGACTTCAACTGATTGTTCCATTTCGAAATTGCTGTTGACACCACCGAAAATTATGAGTTTTGAATCCTGAATTCCTCAAGCATGAGAAAACCTGGCAGCAGGTTTTTTGTTAGCATAAGTAACACTTATCCAAGTTAAAGTATCCATTTGTAAAAAGTACATATCATTTAGCACAGATGATTTTTGATTGTTGTCATTTCTCCCTCCAAATACTAAAATAGAATTGTTGAACTTGAGATACTCCATGAAGTGGTGAGATCTTTCACACGGAGATTTACCATTATAGTCCTCGACCTTTTCCCATTCGAAGTCCTTCCCTTCATTCTGAATTTTAAGGATGTAAAGATGATCAATGATGTCATTGTCATTAGTTATTCCACCAAACATATAACAACCTTCGAGGATAATATCTTTATCCTTGATTTTGTCTCGCTTTGGCTTAGGTAGAAATGGGTCCAAATTCTGGTCTTGCTTATACTTTCCAAAAAACTCTCCATGAGGGTTCTTTTTCCTACCCTCATAAAATACAGCCACCATCCGTGAAAATCAGATTCCTGGAGGATTTTTAGCTCCTTTGGCTGGCATATTCACTTTGAGCCACTTTTTCTTAGCTATATCAAGAACCCCTAGATCTTGAAGGACATCGCCCATCTCGTTGACGCCTCCATGAACGACCAAATAGTTGCCAGCTACTCATGCAGAGTGGCCATATCAGAGGTCAGGGCCACTCTTGGTCAAAATTTGTTCGAGAGTTCCCACTTGTGGGTTGTACAGCCAAATATCATTAAGTACAAGTCTTTTCGCCTTCTTGCTAGCAGAGCCTTTCTGCCCACCAAAGATTATTAATGAGTCTTTATAAATATTGCAGGTATGTCCGTATCTCTGAAGGATTGTCTGGTGGTCATCCTTAAAGACCTTCCATAAGCACTCAGAGTCAGTATTTGCAATACAACAGACTTGCTTTATCACAGAGTGATTCACACCTCCGATGAGGTAGGTGTATCCCTTCAGGTTTGTAAGAGTGGCTGATTGACAAAAGACAGGATGCCATACCTTTTTATATCTTATTTTCTGCACAGCAGCTCTATTCTCATACTGATCCTCTATCTTGAATTCTTCTGTGCTCTGGTTCAAGAAGTTCCGCTTCAATAGGAACTTCTTCTTAATATTTTTATCATAGTTCTTTTGAGAGGGAGATACAGAGATCAGGTATGATCTTCCTTGCAGAATCTTAGAGTCCAATGTATTATCCAGAGGTTTCCCTGTGGTCAGCTCGTTCGAGAGCAAGCCTTTCTTATGATACTGTTTTGGATTTTTAACTTTAATGAATTTCTTGACATTCGATTTGCTCTCTTCCTCATCTTCAGTCTTCCCAAGATTTTGCTTCTTCCTCAAGATGGCAACAGGGAGTGCTTCTTTAATAGAGGTAAATCTTGCTGAGGTATTAGGAAATTCCTTTTGACTTTCTTGCGGGCTATTATTTGAGAAAACCATTCTCTTCTTATTTACTAGATTTCACAGAATTGAACCTTTTCTCAAAAATGTTTAGTTTAGGAGTCAAATTGGGGGAAAGCTGGGGAAGACGCAATCTTGATTGTCTATTCACTGTTTTATTTAGCGCCTTCTTTTTCTGGTCAGTGGCACTAGCCATCAGAGCAGTAACCTGCTGATATTGAATTTCTATAGTCATTAGCAATGAAACTTACCACGCTGTTGTGATTCATCATCTCTGTAAGGTAATTTAAAAGGTACAAGGCTCTTGCGTTCCTTCATAATCTTATTCAGATAGTTCTTCTGAGAGTAATTCAATGTATGCAGCTTCAAATCCTCAATGTGGTTATTCTTAAAAGTCTTCTTAAGAATCCCCTTTAGCATAGAATTTACAGTTGGCCTGTGATCTTTCTGTAACATTACAGAAGAGCTGCCTCCATGTCGTTCGCTCTGAAGCTGGTTCAAGTAAGATTTGCTCAATATTCCAGACATCTTGGGACTACATAAAGATTCAAAGGACTTTTCTCCTTCTTCATTACTTGTTAGGTTTAGGCCTTTGTTCTTTGTTTTTAAAGGAATCATTTTATTCAATTATTATAAAAATATTAGGGGTTTTGGGGTTTTGGGGTTTTGGGG